CCCGGGGGATGCTTTTTGCTGCGATGCTGAGACACACAGGGCAAGATCAGTGGTTCTGCCAGCATTAGTGTGGGTTATTCTTTGTCTGGTCATGGGCCCAGCTCGTACCCACACGAGCTGAAGGAGGAGTTGACTGTTAGACGTCCCCCCCACCTCTGCTGATCTAGAGGAGGAATAATTTGTATTAATTGCTTGACCAGCAGCAGAGCATCTTCCCTGTCTTGCAGTTAAGTTTGGCATTTCTTTGCTCCCTTTTTTGACCACCTTAGGCTCTTTTTTTCTCTTTAACATGTTCTTGACTGGTTTTGTTACTTTCACTTAAGTTTTCTAGTTCTTTTTGCCTTTCATGTTCACTTGATGCTCCTTTGAATCTTTATCACTGCTTTTGGTTCTTCTTTACGTGTTTTGCTGTTGTTTTCTTTGGAGAAATTTACTGCTTTGTTCTCCCTTCATATGGCTTTTCCTTCCTCAGAGACACTGCTGCCATGTGACTTTTTTTCCAGCGTTAGCCTTAAGGAAAGGAAGCTTTGTATTCATTAGGAAGCAAATACTGGTGAAAGGAAATGTGTGCACGAGTACGTGCAATAGTGCTTAATCCTTTTCCCTGAAGATGCTGGAGGAGATCAGAGAGGCTGGTGAGGGACAGTACAGAAGAGTACATTGACTGCCTTGTTGTGAGGGAAAAAGTGTCTTTCAGGGAATGGTGAATAACCTGCAAGTATAATGATGTAACTGGGAAAGGGAAGGAATGGGTAACAGAACAAGCTGAAAACAATAGAAATTGTTGTTGCCAGAGCTGGGTTTTCCATCATCTTTGAGGATTTTCTTTAAACTCATGTTTTGAGCTGCCTTTCTTATCTGCACTGAACTTTGAAGCTAAGAAATGCTGCTCTGTCATGTTTTGGTGGGACCCTGTGTAGCTCCAGAGGGGTGTGCAGGGATGGGGAGGGACCTTCAGTGGATGCCCTCTTCCATCTTTCAAGCAGAGATTATTTCCCAGCAGCTACTGAGAGGTGCTAGCCTGTGGACAGAGTGGAGCTGACTAGTATTTGAAGTACAGAAGGTCTATTAATATGTGGTAGATACTTACAACAATGAAGAGCAGTTGTTACAGCTAAGTGAAGATGGCCAGGCCACTTCCCCTTGCTTATCCTTGTATCAAACTAGCAAAATACCACTCCAGTTTGAACCTAACATCATTAACTTGCCTCTGTGGGTCTAGGTGAGAGGAGTCTGACAACAGCCTGAGGTTCACAGCACATTTAATGTTGTTAGATTCTTACAGCACAGAAATTCCATTACATGTTCCCTTCATATATCTGTGTTCCAAGATCAGGCATTCTCTATCAGGGTCCTGAAGCACATACATCTATGATTAAAGGGATAAGTACATGCCATTAATATTATGTTACTTTTTTGTATCCTTTTTAACCAGTGAAAATAAATGCCTTGAGAATATTTTAATTCTGCACACTGGTTTATCAATATGACACATCTGAAAGCCCTTTTTTAGACTAGTAATATAAGATTTAATGTTCTGATTAATTCCTTCCAACCTCATCCACTATTTGAACAATGCCAAGTAACATGAATTGCATCTACTGACTTGTATGTAAAGGTAAGTTTAATTATAAACTTTGGTCAGTTCTGAAAACGAGAGAGCTCTGATTAAACTGTTTCTAGCTTGAATTCATTTACACTTGCTGTGAGTGGTTCTGCTCTATAAGCTTCCTCCCTGGACTTGGTTAGTGCTACTGTTGTGTTGTCATCTGCATTTAGTAGTGAAAATATGCTATAAAAACTATTAATTAGTGAAAAACTGTTCTGAAGCCTGACCTAAATTGCTAATTGACCTTTTCAGCTTTGTTTTGCCCCATTCTAAGCTTTGAAAGTACATAATAAATGAGATTTAAGATCACTGCTTTTTCTGTTACACATGATGTTGGTGTGAGTTTAATAATGCTGATTAAGCATTTTTTTTTAAAAAAGTTACTTTGCCTTTTATTGAAGGTGACAAAATGTTTATTTTTGAGTTGTCTTGAAATAAGTGTGGAGGGGAAAAAGATACAGCATGTGAAGAAGTATGATTCAGTGTTTATCAAGTTATGTTTTATTAATAGAAACAATGCTGTAAACAGATGCTTTAGTGATTACTTAAAATGAAACAAAATAGTCCTTTTATGGAGTAGAGGAAAATGGATTTAAGGTCACGAATACTGTAAATGAGGGTTTTTTTTGTTTGTTTGGTTGGTTGTTTTTTTTTAATCCAACTGTAGCTGGATATGCCTGCGCTTCTTGCTTTCTGGAAACATTAAACTCTGCTAAACCTCATCTCCCAGTAGTACTTTTTTTTTGTTATTTTTTTTTCCTCTGCTGTTTGGGGTGAAAAGCATAGGGGTGTTATTCTGGAGTACCAGACAGGTTTTTCCAAACCTCGTATTAACTTGAGCTTCAGTGTCATTCAGAATATGGGAGAAACTGCGGCTACTTCGTGTGAAAATAAGCTGCCAGATCTGATTGCTAGAGCATCAATTTCCTGAGCTCAGGCATGGGAGTGGGGTGGGTATTAGTGTTCAGTGGATTGTTGGGAGGTGGTCACAGAGCTGAGGTTTATCTCCTGGATTAAGAAAGTCTTTGAAGATCAGAGGAGTGAGGTCTGATGCTCCCTATGAGTTACAGTCTATGTGCAAGCATCCTAAGTTGTGTGGTTTTTTTTCCCCAATGTATATTGCATATATAATGTATATCATGGAATCATTAAGGTTGGAAAAGACCTCTAAGATCATCAAGTCCAACCATCACCCAGCACTACCATGACCATGTCCCCAGGTGCCACATCTACACGTTTTTTGAACACCTATATGCCTTGCATCTGCAAGGAGGTAGAAGTAGTGCTTCTGGTTAACAAGATTTGCTAAACTACCATAGTGTTGTGGGTCTTTTTCTTATTTTCTTAAGCAAAAATGGATTATAAAGTCATGCCTCCTCTGCAGGCCTGTCATTATTTAATTGGTTTGACACGGATTCTAAATGCATGAATTTTAAATTTTGGGTAGCTTGTTCTTAAGCCTGATTGTTTTAAGAATACTGTGAATTGTCCCACTATTTTCAGCCATGAACCCAAATGCTGTTTAAATATGGCAATGCAATTAAATAGTTTAAAAATGGATAAACTGGTTTATTCCAGATAAACCACAATATTAGGACATAAAAAAAAGGAATGTTCTCTGCTTCTAGTTGAATTTTTATGCTTACCATAATGCAATCGGTTTTGTTATACAAGTAAATAAAATGGTGCCCTGCTTATGATTCTTTAATGAAGCACTAGATTGGAAAATAACTGATTGTATTGTGAGACAAAGGCATTGCTGTTATCATCATGGAAAAGTAAAGTGAACAATTCAGGGAATGTTAGTAGCACAAGTACCATATTACTAAATTCACAGCAGGATGTAAAGACATTTTTTGTCAAATGCAACTGCAAAAATCATGCTT